TGGTACATCAGGCTGCTTCCCTTTATTCGGACAGAATAGCTGTATGCTTCGATGAATGTAACAGCCAACATCCGATTTATTATACCTACAAGACTTTGGTTAATGATGCTTCAAAATTATCAAATTTTCTTCAGTTACACTGTGATTTTCAAGGAATTCAGGAAATTGGTCTCTACTGCCGTCCTGGGATAAATTTACCCTCTTGGATTTTAGGGTAATTTTTTTATTGCCATAAATTTTGTTATTTAATACATAAACTATATTGCAAGTTACTGTTCTGTTTACTATTGAATTTTTCTGCATTACTTGGTCAGTTTTGGGGCAGGTAAAAGGAGTTTGCATTTACGCTAGTATTTTTAATCATTTAATTAATCTGAGCTTATTTAGAAGAAACTAAAGTTTTCATCTAATAGCAGAACATTTAAATATCTCCAAAATATAAAAGCTTACTTTTTTTTTTTTTTGCCAAAGGAAAAATTTTTTAAATTCTTCTGTTAGATCAAAGAAAATGAGGATTTCAGAAATACCCTACACTGAATGTTTAGGCACTCAGGTTTTCAGTGAATGAATAAATGAGAGTTTGGGTTAATTGTCCATTTAAATTGAGACATGAATCCATTAGAAACACTAATTCAAACAAATCTTTACAAAGTTCAATAATTTCAATTGTTCTGGAATATTATCCTTACATAGTGATTTCTGTGCTAGGGTTTTGCAGTAAATGAAAGTTATCAAAGAATTAATTTGAGAAGTTGATATTCATCCCATAATCTGTGTCTTATTATAGTAATTATGTAAATGTAAAGCAAAGTAATGTTTAAAAATTTACTTTTATTCCATCATTGACACAATTTTATTGAGAATTTACTACGTACAAAGATCTAGTATCCGCAAAGTATACCTCACAGTATTTTTCGTTAAAATGACTAACTGGTCTTTGATCTTGTTTGTGCAAGTATTGCCACGTACAAATCAATTTTAAAGTTTTTTTCTCCCCTTAAAGTGTCCTGTTTTTGGTGAAATACGTTTTTTTGGTAGCGTGCTGATTCTAATAATGAAAGCTGCACATGGATGTTTAGCTTATTTTATGTTTTCCTACATAGACAAATGAAGAAATTAGACTCTGCTATCTGTTTCGTATTTTAGTAGTAGAAAGCTAACCAACTGTGTTATACTGTAAGGAGGCAGTGGTGGCTCAGTGGTGAATTCTCGCCTTCCATGCGGGAGCCCC